ACTAGACTCAGACCACAGGACCAGCATGTGTGTCAAACTCTGTAAATTCTATCTCAAAATTAATTTGAATGCCAGTTTACACAAATAAAACCAAAAATCCATGTGGAAATCATTATACATGTATAACGCAAAAAAAGTGAAAATCGGGATATTATGTTTTCAGAATTATTATACTATTAGGTGTTTTAAAAAAACCATGGTTTTTCGTCAACCTTTTAATAGTAGTATAATATAGGAGTAGTAGTATAAAATAAGATGTGGGGGAGAATTAGAAATTTACCCACAGCAACATGATATAAAGAGGACGGTCGATTCGTCCCAAATCACATTCGTCCCACAATCGATTCGTCCCACAAGTCGATTCGTCAGATTTAAGGTTAGCTCACTACTAACTCGCCAAATAAGCACAAAAGAATCCAAACAACGAACTGCTCACGTACACGTCATGCACTGGCATGCGTAATTGTTCGTTATGCCATTACACGCAACGTAGAGTTATTAGTTAATAAATACAAATACATCGTACATGAAACGTAGAGTTATTAGTTAATAAATAACAAATACACCTTGCACGCAACGTAGAGTTATTAGTTAATAAATACAAATACACTGTACACACAACGTGGAGTTACAAATGTATTAGTTAATAAATACAAATACACCGTACACGCAACATGGAGTTATTAGTTAGCATGTCAGTAACAGTTGGCATAGAAATTGACCCTGCTCAAGATCGTAACGCTGACCAAAAATTAAAAAAATGGACGAATGTGAATTGGGACGATTATGAAATAGAACGAATGTGAATTGGGACGAATCGACTTGTGGGACGAATGTGAATTGGGACGAGTCGACTTGTGGGACGAATGTGGTGGGACGAATGTGTTGGGACGAATGTGAGTTGGGATGAATTGACTGTGAATCTGATATAAACAGTGATTTTGTAGCATATTACTTGTGATGGATGTTACACTGTATAATTAGGTTATAAACAGTACACTTTAGGATTTGATAATGGATATACATGTAAGACCTCTATGGGTAAAAATACATCAACCTCTAATTCAAGTAAGCACACTCCAAGTATCAGCTGAGTACGAGTAAATATTTTTTACAAACCAGAATGGTATACGTAGCCAAGGCCATGCAACAAACAAGCAAGATGTCCCCTGACTGATTTACCAATTACAAGAGTTGAAAAGGTTGATCAGGGACGATATTGTCATTTGAAGTACCGGTAGTACATGTATACATGTGTATGTGATATAGATGGGGTTTTACATTAAAATAATGTTGTATTTTAAATTAGTAAAAGTGACCAGGGTAGGCAGATCGAAATCAAACCACAGTCACCTAATATTATGCTCCAGTCAATGTCAACACCCACTCTCCCCACCTCGGGGTTTAGTGGGGGATTTGGAAATTATTGTTGTAAAATTTGCGAAATGCCCCACCTCCTGGGGCAAGATGGATAGGCAAATCCCCACCCAAAACAAACCCCCCACATTTCTCCACCGATCGCCACTGTCCGCTATGCTTGCTATCAGCAGAGTACTAGCGATGACGGGACACGAAACACGGCTATTACCCCATCTCCACGGGCACAGTTTGGCGGTAAACCCTGTCTAATGCCCCACATTTGTCCCGTATCGCCCGAGGTGGGAGGGGTCGGTGTTTACATTGACTGGAGCATTAGCTCCGCGTTCAAACTATAAACTTACCTTCGTCATAAACAATCTGTGATTTAAGATACTGTACAAGTTGTTCTCTGTTCATTTCTTCTGGTCTTATCACACCCGGTCTCTCCAGAATATTTCGACCTCTCTTGCGTGAAACAACACGTAGAGCTACCGAGTCATCGTTCTTCAGCACTGTCACTGGGGCGTGTGTTTTAACAAGTTGTATGCGTGAACCGTAATATCGATTCGTCGACGGTTGCCTCCAAACATAGTTTTTCGTAAATAAACATAAGGTACGACCCAACCGATTTGCCTGACAAGCTGAGCACGTTGCCATAGTTGCTATTCCCCTATAAGTCAAACAATCCACCAGTTTGACCGCCTATACTGTTTTATACACAAACTTTGCGATCATCCAAACTTAGCAGCATGGTTTTTTGACAACACGTGTGAACTACGTCATCAAATATTGTTTTCCGGTTTAATGACCTTTCACCCTTAGTTAAAGTCGTTCGTCAGCTGGTTCGGCACATGGTCTTTGCAGAAAGTGGCTTTTAGCAATACCAACTAGATATTTTAAGTAAGTATTCATCTGTTTAAACTGATAGCTCGTTCAAGAGACACCAGAGAATGCAAATATATTTACGGGCGGTATTTTTCGAACATCGTTTACGTTTACAAAAACAACCTCCAAAATCATAAAATCAAAATGTACAGCAAGTAGCTAAAA